CAATAGATGGATTCATCAATAGATGGATTCATCAATAGATGGATTCATCAATCGAAGGATTCATTAGTAAAGGGATTAGTCAATGTGGATAATCAATTGTGCATATTGTGCATTAATAAGCTTTGTAGCCAAAGCGCAGGACTGTCCTCCAAGGATAGATCAAATTTGCCCCTGAGTGACGTAGGAAGAGAAAGGTTCTCACTCACGGTGACGAAAAAGTCGCTCGATGAAAGTGTCGTGAAAAAACCACGAATCCCTGGATGCTTAACAGAAAGTGTTTATATTTATCGACCCTGTGGCCCTATCAGCAGGAGCAGCAGGCAGAGTCACCCATCCTGACTGGACCACGCGCGCGTAACCGGAAATATGGTCCGGGCGCCCAGGTTGTGGTGCCAGCGGGCTGCGTCGGGGCTGCGCGGCACAGTCAGGCACAGGGACACCAGGCTGCGGCCACCACCGGATGCATATGTAGGCTGCCTACCGCCGGCCGCCCGCCGCCACGCCGCGGCCGACAGGTGACAGTGTTGTGTTGCCGGGCCAGTGTCAATTTTGTGCACAGTAGAGCACGAGACCGACTGATCGGTCCGTCGCCGTGGACCCACTCAGCAAAGCTAAGAATAAGGAATAGAAAAGATGCTTTATTTTTAGTCTGTAGTTGTCGTTCTTGACGTCTGAAAGTTTGTCGTCTTCTCAAGAAACTAGGACTGGCAGATAGCTGCGTTCACCTGTTATGGACCTCTGCTCTCTTCTGCTTGCGGGACCGCGTGCATGCTCCCACCCTCACCCTGCACCTCTGCACTAGTGTGCTAGTGGGACCGCGTCAATGATATCCATACCCTCTCGCTCATCACCTCTGCACTTGCCTGCTCGTTGGAGCGCGTGCACCGTGCGTCCACCCTCGCTCTTCACATGTACCACTTTGTTAGTACGGCCGCCTGCTCCGCTCTTTCTTATTCACCTCTGCACCTGACTGCTCGTTGGAGCGCGTGCACCGTGCATCCACCCTCGCTCTTCACCTGTACCACTTTGTTAGTAGGGCCGCGTGCTCTGCGCTCTGCGGGTCGAGGTCGGGCCCCGGCAGGCAGGCAGGGCGGACAGGCCCTGCGGCTGAGGCCCGGCCCCGGCCCCGGCAGACTGGTCCCTGTGGGAAAAGCGCGGCGGCAAGTGGCTTGCTGGCGCGGCGCGGGGCAAGGCAGCAAGGCGCTGAGTGGAATCAGATTGCCATCAGTTAACCTCGCAATGAGCCTCGCGCGAGGAGCACGGCGGCGCGGCACGGCGCAGCTAGAGCCGTGATTAGGGGAACAACAACAACTCGCTGCAATGCCAACCGGGGAGTGAGTGCCAACATGTGAAACCGAACTATCTCACGACCGACCCCAACCCAACCCCTGTCCCTTTATGCTCCCCCCCCC